GTGGGCTGCCCGTCACAGCCACGCAGGAGGGTGGCGAGGGCAGCGATGGAACCCGGGAGAAAAGAGCGTGTGCGGCCCCCAGCACTGGGAAAGCCACAGAGAAGCCTCACTCCCTCTTACAGGGCCCGCGGGGCCGCGCCTCCCCCGCGGCTCCGGCTGAACAGAGCCACCTTGTGCGGGGATGCGTCCCCTGCCAAGATGTCCGGCCCTGTCGCCAGGGACTTGGGTGGGGGTGGCCGGACAGCGTGGCGGAGGGAGGTGGGGGCCCAGCATAAACGCCCCCTTGTGCGGCTGACGGGGGAGGGGGAGTGAGGCGGGGTTCCCCATACTGTCCCCCTGCTGGTGGAGAGTGCTTCCTGCCCCTCAGCCCCTCCTCTCTGCAGGGCACTCACGCTCCGGGCTCTTCTCCAACGCTGGGAGATAAATGAGATGGTGATGGACACTGTTAAGTGCTGAATTCAGTGATGGGTGAAACACCGGGGTCAAAAGAGCTGGAACAGGAAGATGCTACTCTTTTGAAAACGCACAGAGTGTTTTTACAAACTTGTATACACTGAGTGGCCAGATTATGATGATCTCTGAACGCAGGGTTCATATTTATTTATTATATTTATCCTATAATAAAAGGATAATATGCAAATTGTCCCCTCAACCAGGAGTTCAATCAGCAGGCAGGACGGCCAAATGCTCATGTCCCCTCCTCTCCCCCTGGCCAGGCTGGCCGGACCCCACCCATGCACAAATTCATGTACTGACATGATAATCTGGCCACTCAGTGTATACACATGCACAGTCCTGAGCACCTGCAGGTATGACTTCTGGGTAAGTCCCACACTGTCTCCACTGCCTTCTGCACCTACCTTTGTCATTCATCCTAAGTCACCTACCAAGCGATGACACAGAACTGCCACGTGGGGGCGCTGCCTGCCAACCACTGTTTGCCTGCCAACACTCTGGGCTCCCACCATCCCTTAATGATGCAGGGGGAGGCCAGGGGTGCGTGGGAGGACTGGAAAGAGATTTCAGAGGAGCTGCCTACAGACTAAATCCCAAGCAAGGTAGTCTGATGGGTTCAAGAGAAGGGCTTGTTTGCATACAATACAATTGAGAGCTCAATCTGCTATTGCAAATAAACAACAGCACAAGAGTTTAGTTCTAATCCTGCCAAAATGACTGACGGGCGGGTGGGGCAGGGGAAGGGGGACGAGGAGAGAGAGAGAGAGTGTGTGTGTGTGTGTGTGTGTGTGTGTGCGCGCTATTCTGCAGGGAAAGGCGTAGGAGTGGAGGGATCCTCCGCTAGGCACCTCCCTGACTCCCACGCTGGGGGGGGGGGGTCCACTTCTTGGGCCCAAGGCCACTCTCCAGGGAGACCAGGCTGGACTCTGGCTGCCCTGGGGAGGGGTGAGACCTAATTCAGTGGGCAGGCAGGCAGTCAAGATGGGCAGCCTTGAGGGAGTCTCCCCAGAACTCTCCAGAAGCCAGAGAACTGGTCCCTGCTGTAGGCGGGTGCGGGCGGCGCCCTCAGTGTGGCGTGGAGGCAGCTACGGCAGCTCGCTCCTTACAAGATGCTTGAGTGGGTGTGGGTTGTGCCCACCGCCGAGCCAAGCGAGAGCTGAGGGCACACTTCCTTTCTGGGAAACATGTCCTCCGGGGGCAATGACCCTTCAGAAGGGAAATGTCTCTGCAGCAGCCAACTCCCCGGGGACGTGCGGTCTGAAGCAGCTCTTTGTAGTGAGACCAAAGGATCATGCGAGGGCCCAGGCCAGAGAGAAGGAAGCTGCGTCCCCCGCGCACTGCACTGCGGCTGCCCTGTGCTGGCTGAGAGCCTTCATCACTCAGGCGCGGTGGCCTTGGGAACCCAAGGCCTCAGGAAAGCTCTCTAATGAGGAAGGAAGGTGGCGGGAGAAGGGGAGGAAGAGGATGTTGGAGAGGGCTCCAGAAAGGTGACGTAACAGCATCTGGCCACTAGATGGCAGCAGACACACACACACACACACACACACACACACACACACACACACACACACACACACACCATCTGCTAGGGGCCTGTCTGTCCTCGTGCCTTCCTAGGGGATGTACTGGCTACTTTCTCTTCTCTTGCGAGCGGGTCTGATGCCACAGGTGAGGGAAGAGCCCCTCCTGATTCCAGAGGCACAGGAAACAGAAGGATTTCGCGGGAAATGCTCACGCTGCCAGCCACATCCGAGGATTAGGGGTCTCCACGCGCTTTCTGTAAAGGGCCAGAGAGCAGCTCTCCGGCTGCAGCCTTGAGAGGCGGTTATGCAACTGGACCATCGCCGCTCACGGGGGACGGAGGGCGGTGGGGGAGCTGCAGACCACGGGGAAATGATGGGTGTGGCTGTGTGTTAACGAACTTCATTTACAGAGACGGTGCTGGGCCGGCGGCAGCCCACGGCCACGGAAGGAACAGGACCATCTAACCAGCCCCACTGGTTGGTCCACGTGGAGCCCAGGCACCTGCTGGGCTGCCCTTTTCTTTTCCCAAAGCCACGCAAGTCTGTGTCCTCTCCTCTCGGCCCTTCCACGGCGCCACGAGATCGCCCTTGCTACCCAGATGCCCGAGCTTCTCCCTTCTCCTTCTGCACAAAACCAGCTGGCAAAGGCCACCAGCAGGTTCCGCGCTTACACCCTCTTCCTGCCTCCAGTCCCTCCTGTCCCCACCCTCCTCACACCCATTTCCTACGGAGCTAAGACACCGTGGGTGGTGGTAACCGTTCCCGCTGAGCTTCTCCGAGCTGGCCCATGCCCCTCTCCTCTCCCAGTTTACCCCACGGGAGTCAGGGTCTAAACCATCTCTTGGGCTTTGTCATTTCCCGAGTCAGCCCCATCACCGATTCCAACCCTCCCCCACCTCCCACCTTCCTTCCCACAAGGCACCGTGGGAATTCCGTCTCAGTGACACGTCTATACACGGGCTCTGGCAGTGCCTTCGGGCCTCCCTGCTCACCCAGCACCTGCCCTCAGCAGTGACTGCCCCAGCGGACTGCCCCCCACTCCTGATGAAACACCCCCTCCCTCTGTGAGGCACCCCCGAGGCGAGAGGAGAGCTGCTTGCCCGGGGTCCACTGGCTTCGCAGATGACTTGGTTTCCATCCCTCCCTTGAAGCTTAAGCTGCGCTGATCTGGGGGTGCCTGTGGGGCAGGCTGCCCCCTGACAACTCGTTCAGGCTATCTCACGTTATCCACGTTCAGCTATGTCGCAGGAAATCAGAGCCGGTGGCTGGCACGTCATGCCTGGGGCTCTTCTGACTTCCTCTTGGGACTCGCTGCTCCGATCCATTTGGAAAGCAGGCACACGTGTGCGAAGAGGGCAGTTCCCCCACTCGGTACACTGTGTTCGCTTTCCATCGGTCTGGCGGAGCGAGAGGGGGGCACGGCTCTCAGCCCCCCTGACGGAGGCGCTTCCTGCCGCTCCGAGGGTCCCTCTCCAGCCGTCGGAGCGTGTTGCTAGGCGCGCACAGTGTCATTATGTCAGCCCCGCCGCGTCTCCGTCTCCGTCAGCGAGGACTGACCTGTACTCTGCAGCTGGCTTTCCGCCTCCAGGTCTGGTCTGTCTGATGCTAAAATTGCGATGCCGGCTTCCTCCGCATCAGCGTTCACCTGGCACCTTCTCCGTCCCTTTATTTTTAACCTTCCCGGCTCGTGGCGGAGGGCACCACCTCCTCGGTCCAAAGTAAAACCCATCATCTCTACTAAACCGCGTGCTTAGTCATCCGATGACTGTTTCTGCACCTCTCCCCCAGCAGCTAGCCTGTCTTCCTTTCCTTTCCTTTCCTTTCTTTTCTTTCCCTCCCCTCCCCCTCCCACCTACCTCCTCTCCCATTCATCCTCCCTCCCCCTCCCCCTCCCCTTCTCTCCCTCCCTTCTAACCTGCAGTCCCCATCCTCCCACGAAACCAGGTCTGTAGCTTGAGCTGAGGGCAGAGCAATCTTACTGACCAAGAGTAAGAGCACAAATCACCAGCATGACATGGCTTATAAGTGAGGCAAATGGGCTGAGGGGTGGACTGCCTGGGGGAGACCTCTCTCCCCGTCTGCGCCTGTGTTACAGGGAGCCCCTCTACCCCCCCCCCCCCCAGTTCCTCAGATACAGTGAGATACAGTGAGGAGGATGACAGTCACGGCTGTGACATGATGGGGGTGGCATGTGATGGCATGACAATGCCCCGGGGACACTGTGTAACTGAGGTCTGTGAGGCTGACACACAGAGGCCAGTCTTTGTCCCCGAGGGGCCGGAGGGTCCGAGGGCTTAAGTAACTCAGGGAGCACCTGCTTGGTCAGGGAAGTGCGGGGCTGGGTGGAGGGGCTTTTGTGCTGCTTTGTTTAGGAATATTTAGGAGGACTGGCTGGAAGTGCAGGTGACGGGATAGAGGGACATCGGCGTTGATGTCTCGATGTCACGGGAGGTGAGGTGCCACCGACTGGAAGCCCGGCCTGAGCAGCGGGTGTGCCCGGGGCACGATTGTGTGGCTCCTCACCGCCCCCCTCCCCCAGACACTGCCTGACGCTGAAGCTCACCCCGTTCTAACAGAAGCCAACATCACGGGCTGTGCCTCGGGACAAGGACCCTAACTCCTGCTCCCCCTAACCCAATCCCCCACGCCTGGTGCAGGGAAACCGCCACAGGCACCACGTTTCCCCACGCTGACGGGCTCTCCCACTCCCGGCTCCTCCTCCGGCACCAGGTTAAGGGCCGGAGCTGGTGGTGCGGGCAGGACCGCCCTGGGAGTCCCACAGGCAGAATGGGAAGCTGAGGACGGAAACCTCCAACCCAGGACACATGGCGCACACGTCTGGGGCTTCGTGGAGCGGTTGGGAATGCCCCTCAGCGGCTTGACGTGCCCCTCAGCGGCTCAGGGTGCCCCTCAGCGGCTCGGGGTGCCCCTCAGCGGCTCAGGGTGCCCCTCAGCAGCTCAGGGTGCCCCTCAGTGGCTCAGGGTGCGGGGCCCGGAGCCAGGGCAGCAGGGGAGACCTACCTGGCGCTCTCGAAGGTGGCGGACGCCGTCTTCTCCACCGCTCCGAACCCGACGCCCACAGCGAGGCCCTCTGGAACAGACAGGAGAGCGGGCGGGGTTAGGGGTGGTCTTCCCCCCTCCCGTGCTCACTGCCCCCACTGTCCGCTCCCGTGGCACAGTGGCTGGGCTCCAGCGTGAAGCATGGGGATGGACAAGCCGACGTGCTGAGTCCTGCCCAGTGAAACCTGTGCGCCTGCCGAGCTCGCCATCATCCTGGCGGGGACAAACATGGAGCAGGTTCCTGATGGAGGGCAGACGCCATGGGGAAGCGGGGCACATCCCAGGGGCCTGGGGCCGGTGGGTAGAACGCACGTGAGGACACTTCTTGACCCCACGGGGAGCGCCACCTCCATCCAACAGGAAGCAGGGTCGCCAGCACGGGGCAGGCTCCAGGCCAAGGGCACAGGGGTAAGGAGGACCTTGTAGTGAAGAGGGAGGAGGGCAAAAGCTACTGCGTGAGCATCTCCCCTTCGGATCTGGGTCCGAGGGCAGGGACGGGGTCGGAGAGCCTAGGCGGCTGTGAGTCTGAGGCCTGGTTCTGTGCTCTCCAGAGCTGGTTGTTCTTCCCCTTTTTGTCCAGAAACATCTGCAAGGGGAGGAGCCATGACTCCAAGGGGTGGGGTGGATACCTGATCAACATTCTCCGGTTTGCCCGATGCACCTGACGAGCTTCGGAAAGGGGTAGGCAAGAAGAGAGCCCCAGGGAGGAGCCGGACGGGGCGAGAGCCGGATTCAAGGGGGGCTGCGCTGGGCAGGTCTAAGGGTTGCAGGCACCCATCCTCTCCATGAGGAGGAGGAGGCCTCTGTCCCTGCAACCTCGGAGCCTTGGGCACTGCCCACGCTCACGGTCATGAGAATACAGTCAGAGGACATCGGAGATGCCTCCCACTGGCCCCTGCTACCTTCAGGATGGGGTGGTGGTGGTGGGGAAATCCAGTGTTTACAAACCAACTGTTCTCAACACAGCGGAGACCACAGCCCCCTCCCCCCAGGGCAGAGGTGGGCCATGGGGAGAGGTGTCAGAAGCTGGAGAGGCACTAAGCTTTGACTTGACATAAGCAGGGCAATCCCCTCCCTTTGAAAAAATCTGTGGGATCCAACTCCCTTGCATGTGAAACCCACGGCCCAGAACGAACATTTTTGCGAGCCAGCCAATATAACGGTACGCAAGAAATGTTTTCATAAAAATTGTGTAACTTAATTTTTACAACATCCTGCCGTACATAAATATTAATAACGAACTACAATGTTCACTAATGGCTGATTACTATCATCGTGTTGCATTCATTTCCCTTATGCACCTTACGCATCCTTTCTCTCCACTAAAACCAGCAGCGAATGTTCAGCAGCCCATGGCCACGTCGTTAGTCTTGGACTGACTTGTTTGGTGTGCGCACCAGGAACTATTTCGCTTTCGGAGAACAAGAAAGATGGGTTTATTTGCATTACGCTTATTAATGTGTGCCTTTATTCCGTGTCTGGTACATTAATGTTCAAGAAAAATATCAACTTTCATTAGAGTGTCCTATTGTTTTATGTTAGCCATGACTCATTTATTTCAGCCATTTGTATTCAGCATGTCTCTATAAAATAAACGTATATTCCTGTGAAAATGGAAGCTATTTGCTGAAACCGGTTTGGCTCAATGGATAGAGCGTCGGCTTGGGGACCAAAGGGTCCCAGGTTCGATTCTGGTCAAGGGCATATACCTTGGTTGCGGGCATATCTCCAGTAGGGGGTGTGCAAGAGGCAGCTGATCGATGACACTCTCTCATCGATGTTTCTAACTATCTCTCTCCCTTCCTCTCTGTACAAAATCAATAAAATATATTTTTTTTTTTAAAAAAAAAAAAGAAGAAGAAAAGAAAAAGAAAATGGAAGCTATTTTATTCTGTGGCCCACATCCACTTAACCTTTGTCAATGTGGCCCGTGGGAGCCCTTGGGTCTGACACGCTGCCCTAACCCATGAACAACAGCTGGTTGGCTCTTTTGTTGGAGATTTTGCTCCAATTAGGGGTTTAATCTACATGGTAGTGCAGCCCGGAGCAATAGGACCCAGGGTGATTCGAGGACCGACCCTTTCTGCTTATTTAGCATGTAGCCAGCACAGGGATTTACATACATGCTCACACAGCTCTGGGCCTGTCCAGCATGAACAGGCGGGGGCTGATCCTGAGCCTTGTGAAAGTCGCTTACACACCTGCCATCTGCATCCTGAGAGGACGTGAGTAGCCGTGGGGGTCAGCTACATGCCCCGCAGACCCTCCACGAGGAGCCGTGTGTCCGGGAGTCAGGTGCATCTACTGGGGTGCCCGCCACCGGCCCGTGGAGAACTGAGCCCCAGACCTTGGGGGGACTATACCAGCCGTGGCTGGGACTGCTTTCCCTTCCAGGGAAATGACCAGCGATGTTCCCCTGCAGACACAGACTTGTGGAAGCAGGTCGCAGCACGCCGGCTATTCTTTAAGCGGGTAATGATGTATCGGTCAGTTTTATCTTCACCCTGGTGTCTGAGGTTTCCCCTCGGAGAGATTTTTTTTTGTTTGTCTTTATCCCCCTCCATTCCGCAAAGAGAAGTCTGACTCAGAGCTTGACCCAGGGCTGGGAGAGAGAACGTGGGGAGTTTTTCATCGGTCTCCGCGGGACAGACAGAGCCCCGGACACCAGCCGGCCCAGCTCCCCCACTGCCGGTTACAGCGGCACATTTTACAGGATGCACAATTTCAACACATTAGCAAATACAGTGCAGCAAAACATAAAAAAGTAAGTGACAACCACGAGTGTCTGCTCTCAACAGAAAAACTTACACCATCTCTAAGATTATTGGAAAGTTTAAAATAAATTAACTCCGTGAGTAACAAAACACCAAGGAAATAAGGCCGAGGCCTGCTTTCTTCCCAGATACCACCCCAACTCTTGATCTCCACGGAGAATCCTTGTATAGATGAGACAGGCAGGCTACGGGGAAAATGCTGAGAGGCTCCATGTTTGATGGATGGCTTGTCGTTAAAGTGCCGGCAGCCACCGCTGGTTTCGCCCCCAGACACGATCAGGGACGAGACGTGGCATCGGTAATAAAGCTCAGGACCGGGACTCCTAATGGAACCAGACAGAGCTGTAATGTGTCCATCAGCCGCGGCTGAGGCCAACTGCAATGTAGAAGCGGGGAAAATCAATGTGTGATTTACAGAGGGAGTGCGTTTTATCTCAGATGCCAAGCCACCAGGGAGAAGGTAACATCTCACACGGTGTTAATTTTAAAAAGGCAATAAACTAGTCATTAGAAAAAGGAACGGAGACCGTGTCAAAGGCCTGGGAGGACCAAAAAAAAAAAAAAAACGGGCAAAAGCCTGCTCTCACCCTCACTCATGCTCTCTTCAAAAAGGGGGGTTATCTTCCCATCCAACACCCCTTCCCATCCAGCACCCCTTCTCCTTCTCACGCTCCCCCCACCCCTTTGCTCCCCTCCCCTCCCTTCTCGCTGAAATAAGAGTGTCCAGACCCTTCTTTCTTCCTCCTGGTCATTTACTCCCCTGGCCAGGCTCACACCGGAGATGCAGAGCTGTTGCCTGGACACCCTCCTCTCTGCGCCCTGGGCCCTGGGAGGGGCAGGCTCCGCGGCCCTGCACTGCCAGACCCCCCTCTGGGCTGCTGAGCGGGGACTGGGTGCAGCAGTCCCGCTTGGAAGGGGGAGGTACTTTACTCCTCACCCCCACCTGCGCCTGCTGCCACCCCTCCGCCCAGTGAGGGCACTGGTTGGGGTTCCCACTCCTCACACTCACTGGTCCCTTCCTCGTTACGCCTGAGCGCTGGCCCCGCACCAGCACGTCCAAGGTCAGGACCTTCCAGTCACCAGCGCCCCAGGTTCAGCACAACGACACGCATCTCTGCCCTCCCTTTCCCTTTGCGTTTATAGACAACACTCCTCGCCACCACCCCCGCCTCCCCCGGTCCCAGGTCTCCGAGCTGCCTGGGGTTGGGGACGGGACTACAGCCCTACAGCCCTGCCTTGGGGATCTCCTGCGTCTCCGTGGCTCTGGAATCCATGTGTAGAAGGACGGACCCTGCTCGAGAAGATGCTGCCTGAGGCTCCGGTGGAGTGATGGGAACCAGCCCCTCTCGCGGGGGCTCGGCTCGGGGGAGAGACACACTGATGTCCTGCTGCGTGTCAGGGCACAGAGCCGGGCTCGTGCTGGGCGAAGGCATGAATGAAACAGTGAGTGAGATGAATAGGAGAAATGACCAAAAGAACAGAGAAGGCCCTGGTCGGTTTGGCTCAGTGGGTAGAGCATCGGCCCTTGGCCTGAAGGGGCTCAGGTGTGATTCCGGCCGCAGGCTCGATGCCCGGCACCCTGTCCCTCCCCGCCTTTCCACTCTCTCTAAAATACCACCGGGTGAGGATCAACAGAACAAAACGGACAGAAGACAGGGAAGAAGGAGGTGAGAGGAAAAGCACGGGTGTTCTTGAGTCACAGAGACCTGGGCAGAGCCCGAGGCCCCGGCACAGCTGCCCTGTCCGGAGAGGCAGGCTTTGGCCCTGGGCTGCCCGCTGCTTCGGAATGCACGTTCCAAACGGGGGGCTCTTTCTCCGTCACCCACATGGGACACCACGGCGTCCTGGCCGCCGCTGTGCAGCTGAGAGCACCGGTTCTGACCTGGCACCGGAGCCCTGAGCCCTCGGAACCACGGCAGCAGGCCCCAGGCAGTGTTACTGCTGCGGGCCCTCGGACCCCGGGGAACCTCAGGGTTGGCCACGGACAAGGGAGACGTTCCTTCAAGGAGGGGCGGGGGCTCGAGGCCACGACGCCGACCTTTCCCACAGCGCCCGGGCCCTCCCGTGGAGCATGCCCGGGGAGGCACCGTCACCTCCCATCGACCTGGACGAGCGCTTAACACGTTTAGCCCAAGAGCAAGCGATGACGTTCACAAGGCCAGATGGGCCGGTGGGGCCAACCCGGAGCCAGAGCCATGGGCTTCCCACGCACCTCCCTGGGCGGCCGAGCGTCTTCGGTCGCAGGACGTCACAGAGT